AAAGCTGGGACTCACAAATCCATCAGGCTTTGGCCCCTCAGCATCTTCCATGGTCTTTCTGGTTGTTTGGACAGGTTAAAAAATAAAATTGAAAGTCAGCAAGGAGTATGATCAAAAAACCATAATGACAGCTATAATGCATAAAAATGACTGTGGCCACCAAGACCGCAGCCCTTCAGGAGGTCATAGGCCATAGGAGAAATAAAATGTAAAAACACACAAGTAACATGAGAACACTACTTAACAATAGAAGCAGCTACAAAGAAGCCCTGTCAGCTGCTCATTATCAAATAGAGACCCACGTTGCCAGGTGTCCAGGGAGCAGGTGGGAGCACTCATGCTGAGAGGAGCCCGGAAGGGGCTCTGTGCATAGCTGAAAGCTCAATGCCACCTAGATCCAAATACTTTTCCAAGCAGCAAAGAAAACAGAAAGTGGATCACTGTGAGTAAATTCACAGGAGATCATCAGTTGGTTTCTAACAGGAAGGAGTTAGAGACCTGCCTGGAAAAGCAGGCTGAAGTGCAGCCATGGGAGCCTTCCAAAGCCAGCAGAAGGGTCACTTCTCATGTCATGGAAAACTGCCAACTGCACCTGAGCAGAGCAATCTGATGAAAATTAGCCTAGCAGCCCCAGAACTTCAGTGAATTGGAGAAAATAAATAAAAATATCACAGAGTCCTACTGAATCTCTTAAACTGGTTTTCCTTCCCTTCAAAGCTTACATACATACATAGCACCTTCCCCACATAGCACCTCCACTTGCATTAAAAAACTGTATTTTTGAGGGGCTTTAGGTATGCCTCAGGAAGTTGCAACAACCTGAATTCAGATTTCTAAAAGCTATGGAAAGGTACCAGCATTAGATACAGCTCTCTAATCCCAGCTCACCCATGGTGAGATAGTGGGCAGAGAATCCCTTGAGATCAAAGGCCAGAGAGCCTGTCACACACAGCAGTAGTCTGTGAAAAATAAGGCAGAAAACACAGCTGGCGTGACCTTGAGCCTCTGATCTGCCTGCCTCTACCTTCTAAGTGCAAGTGTTAGGGTTACAGGGTACAGTGTACCCTGTTTGTGTGGTGCTGGCGGTTGTCATGCATACGAGGCAAATAGCCTACCAAGTAAGCCACCTCTCCAGTGCCCAGTTTATCATTCCTTTGATACTTGAAGCTGAGTCATTTTGCTGTTTCCCTTCCCGCTGGTTCACTTATCTTCATTCTTTCTAGTGTATTTAAAGTTTTGTGATGCTACTAATGCCACCTCAGTTCTGCCCGTTGTCCGAGTCTTAGATCCCTGCAATGGCCTTCTGATACTCAACATTTTCATGTTCCTCCTCTAAGTTTTCAGTGTTCCACTTGCTTCCTCTCTACTCTGGTTGTAATGTTGCTATGTTGCTGTGTTCTGTGGATTGAAAACAGAGTCATGGGGGAAGTAAAAAGACCCAAGATAAGAAAGGATTCTGCATCAGCCCCAAGGTTGGAGTCAGCTGTCAAGAGCGCTACCCAGGGGCTGGAGGAACTGGAGTCCATGGTCTGTGGGAACGGAAAACTTAGACATTAGGAGAAGGTTCTCTCTGGATATAGAGTGGGAGATTTTGGGCTCAGGAAATTGGGAGAGTGGAAGTCCTACTTTTAGTGCTGTGGTTGAAGAGGTGAGAGCAAAAGAGTATATGAGGCTGGCCCATAATTGTCTGGTAGGCCAGCCTGGGGACCATGGGTACAGATGTAGAGCATCTTGTGGAGGTGACTGGAAGTGGGGGAAGGTGAGGTGTAGAAAAGCACTACTGCTGCTGCTTCTTCTTCTTCTTCTTCTTCTTCTTCTTCTTCTTCTTCTTCTTCTTCTTCTTCTTTCTTCTTCTTCTTCTTCCTCTCCTCCTCCTCCTCTTCCTCCTTCTCTTCTCCTCCTCCTCCTCCTGCTATTGCTGCTTCTCTTTCTCCTCTTCGTGTGTGTGTGTGTGTGTGTGTGTGTGTGTGTGTGTGTGTGTGTGTGTGTTTTCCTTAGTGGTAAGATTTCATTTATTCCTGACTGGCTTTGAACTCAATATATAGCTGAGGGTGACTTTGAACTCCCACCCTCTCTGGCCCAATTGCTGGAATTACAGACCTGCTCCACAGTGCTCAGTGCAGTTCTGAGAATAAACTCATGGCTTTGTACTTCTTAGGCAAGCATTATACCAACAGAGCTATATCTCACTGCCATATCACCCCATACTTAAATTGTGTGCTAGAACACATGTGCATGTGCACGTGTGTGTGTGTGTGTGTGTGCAACTATGCACATGTGTGTCATGACACACATGTGCATATGTGAAGATCAGAGGACAACCTCAGCTATTGGTTCTCACCTATTTTTTTTCCTTCTTTCTTTTTTTTGGGGGGGAGGGGAAAGGTCAAAAGGAAGGGGAACACAGGAGAACTGGGAAGTGAGTGAGATTGAGACACATGATGTGAAATTCCCAAATTATCAATAAAAATATTATGTTGGAGAAATTGAAAGGAGTAAAGGATTTCTTTTGGCTCCAGCTCTAGAAAGTTCAATTCGTCGTGATGGGGAGGGCACACTGGAGCACAGCAGTTCACACCACAGCCCAACAAGAAGCAGAGAGTGGAAGCAAAAGTAGAAGCAAAAGTCATCAGGGATAACAGAGCCTCCAACAACCATGCCCCTCCCCCTGCCCCACCCGGTGCCCTACTTCCTCCAGCTAGATCCCACCTCTCAAAGTTTCCAGAACTCCCAAAGTAGTACAGAGCTGGAGACCCAACAGTCGCAGCATTAGCCTGTGGGAGACATTTCAGATTCAAACCATAACACTCACCAATTTCAATTTTACAAAATCCAGAATATAAACTACCTGCGTGTGTTTTCACTTTTCTTTGTACTCTATCTTCCAAAGACAGTAAAAAGTATAAATTCTTGGGGGAAAGAAATCACTTGCAATTAAGCATAACCTGGGCTTATAAACTTGTGTATTCTCATTATCTTTTACTTTCCTATAAACAAGCTAAATCTCTCAGGGATTTCAATTTCCCAGTTTCGGGTTTGTTGTGAACTTGTTGTTGTTAATGTATCAAACTACTTCAAAGGTAATGGCTTCATGAAGAAATCCGTGTGAGGAAGCAGAACTTATGTTCTCAAAGCAAGCTATAGCTGGGCATTTTTATAGTGCTTAAATCACAAACACAAAGCAAAATGTGCCATTTCAAGAAAATTGAAGAATCGCGGAGTCTGAGAATACTCCACTCTGCAAGGAGAACACATTAGGAAAGAGACCTTTATAAAGCATTAGCCCATCAAGCCATGCAGCCGCACTGAAGACTCTTTATGGCCTCTCTTTTTATGATCTTGGTCTTTTTTGCAAGGGTAGGCTACACTTTCTTTTGCAATTCAACTCTGATTTCCTAATCTAAATCATTCTCCCTGACTTGCTTCTCCCCCACCCCCACCTCACTCCACCCCTGCCAACACCCCAGTCCCCAACTGCTTCAACAACATACTTACAACCTGCCAGTTACAAAGAGCCAACCCTACCAGCTCATGTTTGACATTACCACACTGTTTCTCCCTACCTACCCCCCTTCAGATAGCTCTTGGCTTCTGTAGATTGCTCTGCTTCCTGTTTTCCAAAGTCCTACAAGAGGGAGAGGGTGTGCCCTTAGAACTGTGACCTTCTCATCCCTCTACTCACAGTCTTGTATTAGCTCTGCATCTTGACCTCTTGCTGGATTAGTTTGCTGCCTTCCTGGTACCTTCAAACCTAAACCTTGTCCCACTAGGAACCCTTCCCATACATGTCCACTCAAAAACTACTCTAAGTGTCTTAGGTACTTACTACAAGCTCCTCAAAGCAGCACTGAACTCACTTGCCTCCCAAACTGCAGCCCTGTCCTGTGCTCTCATTGGTCAATGAGCAGCACCTTCCATCCAAGCCAGAAATCTGGAAGGCGACTTTCATTTGAGCCTTTGTTTCTCACCACACCTCCCCAAATGGTCATACTTTGAGTTGGAGCTCCCAGCCATCCCTAGAATCTGTCTCTCCGTTCCATCCTGCTGACGCTGAAGTTCGAGTACTATCATCTCTCCAGCATCCTTGTTCCAGTCTACTAACCATTCTCCTGCCTCCAAATTTGTTCCCTCTAACTACAGTTTGTTCCCTTCTGTGAGGGTTTGTATAAGCTCACCCAGGGAGTGGCACTATTAAAAGGTGTGGTCCTGTTAGAGTGGGTGTGGCCTTGTTGGAGTAGGTGTGTCAATGTAAGTATGGGCTTTAAGACTCTCATCCTAACTCCCTGGAGGAGGAAAAGGAGGAGAAAAAGGGAAAGAGGAAGGGGGAGGGGAAGAAGAGGAGAAAGAGGAAGAAGAGGAGGAGGAAGAGAGGGGGCAGAAGGAGAAAAGGGAGAAGGGAAGGAGGAGGAGGACTCATTGGTTAGCCAAGTTGGACTTCAGTGTAATTGATACTTTGGTCTGTAGTGGGTTCCCCTCCCAGGGTGAAGAGTCATGTGTCTTGTACCTCCTCATGAAAACTCTCACTTGTTTTGCCAAATGGGTACAATACTAAGAGGCTAAAGCTGACACAATCCAGCATGCATCCCTCCCTTCTCTCCCTCTCCATCAACTTGTAGGTAAGTTGAAGCAGTTCTTGAACTCTGCACTCTTGCCAGTACTATCACAGGAAGAACTCTACCCATGAGCTGACTCTAACTTCCACAGACTGTACTTCCCAAAGCTGTGCCTCAGGGCCGCTCCTCTGGTCAGAAGCCTGTGTCTAACACTTGCAGGGCCCTGCCCTGGCTCATACACTACATACGGCTCTCAAGCTAAGATGGGAATGACTCCGTCAGTACATTATAAAGCCCAGAAGGAAGATGCTGCCTTAGAATATATATGATTGTCCAATGGTTTCCTAAGGTAAATATGAAATATAAGGTTCCTAAGCCAGAAGGCATGCAGCCCACCAACCCTTTTGGGATCATTTTATTTGTATTGCCATTTATCCGACAAACAGGTTATTCCAATTACTTTTTATTTTATAAATTATTCAAAAAGAAAGAAAAGTTGTTTATATACATTATGCTAGGCACTGGGATACATTCACTAATAAACCAGACAATGCCCCTGCTCTTGTGGAGCTGACAGTCTTAGGAAGAACAAATATACCCCAAACCCATGGTACCAAAAATTCCTGACAAACTGGAGTGAGCTAAAAAGGCACAGTATGAGTTTTCAAAGTTCATAGGTATCAGAAGTTGTATATGGCCTGAGTGTCCTGCGAAGTTTCTATGTTATAATGATTCTGGGCTGGAAACTAAGGTTTTTATTTAAAATCAAATGAAACCAGGGTGTGCACTAGAGAATACACTTTAAGAAAAGGAAATCAAGATGGACAACCCGTCAAGGCTCCCCACACTTGTGTGGACACACAATGGAAAGGCCAGCCAGTGCGGAGAAGCCACGTCACGTATTAGCATGTGCTACAAGAGCCACATGTAGTCAAAGCCTTGAAACTCACAGGTGAAGAATGCATAACTATAAACCCAAAAGAAAAGGAATGCATTTTCAAAGCAATGGCCCGAGGAGGCCAGACAGCGCTGGATCTTGGAGCTGGAGTCAGGGGACTACGAGTGGCCCCATGTGGATGCTAAGAACTGAACTGGGGGCCTCTTGAAGAGCAGTAAATGTTCTTAACCCACTGAGTCATGTCTCCATTCCCTTGATGCCAAAGCTTTAAGCATACAATGCTATGTACCACGTGTACCCTACCCCTATAAACCTATTCAATGAGACTCTACTTAGGACATTTTCTTGATTGCAGCTTTGATTCCTGGAGATTATCTTCCACAGAAAACTTGAAATTACTGTTGCAATGATTTAGAAATATAAGGAAGACATCAGGTATACCTTTTGCATTGGTTTTATGTGCTCATGTACATAGGTAGCCATCATAAACTGAAAGACACTTTTATTATCTTTAAGAAAAAGAAAGAAAAAAGTTCCAAAGGTTTGCTGCCCAGCAGCCATCACTAATGACATTCATAATCTCTAGTGGAAAATATGGAGCAACTACACACTGTTCTCTAGGATGTGGTGAGCATAGTTAAATGTCATTCTTGATTATGTATGTAACAGCCTTCTACCCCAGCCCCTTCCTCAGGTTTTGTGCACTTTTTTCCTTTTTCCTGCTATAATACAAAAGAAAGGCTACATTTGAAGGATGCACTTATTAAAAACCACCCCGGCAGAAGATGCAGACCCTTACAGAGGTCCTTACTGAACTTTGCCTGAATGTTCCAGATTCCCTAAACTGTTCATTGTTGACTAGAAATCTTTCATAACACATGGTTACAAAAGGCTTAAATAGTCTACATGAACCACTTTAAGTATATTTATTTCAAATATAAATATATTATCCACTCTATTATTTTTCTAAATGACTTTTTTAAAAAGAAACTCTTCCTGAAGGTTTCCAGTCAGCGACGAATGCTATCCCTGCTATCCCTTCTCACGGCACAGTCATTTCAGAGCTTTATCTGCAAAACATAACACAGGAAATTACCAAAAAAGCAGCAAAAAAAGACAGGAAGCTCCATGCAGTTTTTCAGAATGAAAAGTGTAACATCGTAAAATACATGATGGTGTTTCTGTTTCCTGACATTTCTAAGCATTTAAGTCATTAAGCTTCTTGTGATTCCAAGATGTATTTGCAAATATACAAATCATGTTTATTGGGGCAGTGGAGCACATGCGTGCAGGTGCCCAGGGAAGAGACCCTGGGTTCTCTGGAGCTGCTGTGCCAGTCACTCCTGAGATACCCAACATGGGCACTGGGAACTGACCTCTGAGCCTCTGTAAGGGCAGTATACACTTTTAACCACTGAGCCAGCTCTTTAACCTTTCAGTTCCAATTTTATAACAATTTTAAAAAAGAGTATTACTTTAAACAATACGGGCTGTTCTACCAGACTCATCCTATCCAAGTCTCAGAACTTAATAACCATTAAGGTAATGATAGGTACATTTACAAATAAATCTTTAAATTATAAGAAATAACAGGAAACAGAAATACCATCATATTTTAGCACATACATACAAAAAAATAACTTAAATATAATACTATAATCTTGAGAAAAGCAAACAGTATACAGATATCAAGATGTGAACTGGACACAGAGTCACCAGGGACAGAATGTAATACAGATGAGACTGCCCGTGAGCTTGTCTGCCGGGCACTGTCTTAATTGTTAACTGATGCAGTCCCGTGCACCAAGAGGCAGTATCATCCCTGCACAGGAGGTCCCGGGCTGTACAGGCAGGTAAGCACGAGCCAGTGAGAGGGAGCCAGCAAGCAGCGTTCCTCCACAGTTCCTGCTTCAAGTTCCTGCCAACTTCTCTCAATGACAGAATTGTAACCTGGAATAAACAGTTTCCTCCCCAAGCTGCTCTTAGTCAGAGCGTTTTAACCCAGCCCAGTATGAAAGCAGTAGTAGGGAAAGTTGAAATGTTATCTTAACCACTGTCAAAAAGTCCAGCTGACAGAGAGAAGGAAGGGCACACGCAGGCAACACCAGCACAGGGCAGGGCCATGATCCACGAATAAGCCCTGCACTGCCCGGAAGGCAACAAGTTCAGTTCCTTTTCTTTCTTTCATTTTACGTCTTGATGGTTATCTTAGATTTCCTAAAATAAGAATTGTGTACTGCTTTTTCCAGACCTAATTATTAGCTCTTAAAAATCAAGAAAGCAACTAATATCTTTAAAGTCCAAACTGAACTGGAAAAAACACTCCTAGTTAAGAGTTTCAATATCCAATCCCCCCTTATGTACTCACTCTGGCTAAGAAAGCTTCATCCGTTCCCTTTGTTTTGCAGAATAATTTAGATTCCCACCTAAAACATAAATGAACATAAGTCATTTTAAGTAATATGAATAATTAAAATCCAATCATACATACACATAAAGTGTGTGCAAGATAAAAAAAAAAGAGTATGTCCTATCATCATGCTTTAATTTTAGCTTTGTATTTTTAAGTGTGAAGGTATGTGTTGTTAATGAAAACACTGTGTTAGATGTTAGTGATACTGAAAATTAAGAAAAATTAAAACAAATCTATTTATACAGGCAACATTGTGTTATATACTCCATTACCTTCTACCATGTCCTTTAAGAATAGGCAATTAGAAAGATTAATACAGGCAATATCAAATTCTTATTAAGAAAAAGAAATACTCTAATGCATATTAACATGTACTAGTTTTAAAAATCTGTTATCTCTAATTCTAAATCAAACACGTTCAAACTTAAAAGTAAAAATTTTTACTTTCTCTTTTTTAGATATGAGAATATGAGGGTTTTGCTAATATTCATCTGAGACTTTATATTATCAAACACTGGCTTTCCTAGAAATGAGTTGCATAACGGCAATTCTAACGTGATGGTCCAAAACGTGTGATTATGAACTTAGGTTCCTGTCACTGAGACTGAGAAATCACTAACACACACTGAAGACAACACCGGCCCTCAAGACGATCCACCCGAGATGAAGAAGAAATCCAGAGAGCTGCTTACCTTGGGCACGGTTCACCAAATACAGACAGACCACAGCTAACAGTGACACTGAAAAACACAAGGCACACTTGTAAACGACGCCAATGCGATCCAACTCAAGCACAGACCAAGCTCCTCTTAATCGACATTTAAAAAAACACTGTACATTTTTGCTTCTGAGAGCCCTGAAGTGCCACAGTGCTTTTCCCCATAGGGAACCACTGCTGCTTAGCCCAGGAATGGCAGAGCTGGAGAACAGTTGAGGCCCTACAGGAGAGGGTGCCAACACACCCCCAGGCAGCACCCACCCTGACCCTCTTTCCTCTCTTCTTGTCTCCAGGACTACTGGCAGCTCTGCAGGGATTTCTATCTGAGAAAAACATGTGCTTTTACAAATGAACAAAATCAGAACTTTACCCTTAGCTTCCTAGAAGCCCAGAGCTACTTCAGAGACCAAGGCAGAGCTTGGCTTTCCACCCTTACTTGCTGAGGAACACTGTCTAGTGTACTTTAAACAATATGACAAAGCTCAACTGTAAAAACATCAACACTTTACTATGTTATAAGAAACCAAACACTGCCACATGACACACTCACAAGAAACACAGGCAATGAAGAACACCTCCAGAAGCAAGTATCCCCGCGTATCCAGTATCATGCCAGCAAGGATGGAGATGACGGCCAGCCCAAGGTTCTGAATAGACTGCATGCTACAATTTCCAGACACAGTAACACATCATTGTCAGAAGTCTTCATACACAGATTAACTTCACTATTAGTATCAGTATCCGAAACCACACGCTACTGGTGCTTTGAAAGACTTTCAATCAGGGAGCAAATGGATAGATTTTGGGCTGAGATGAGATTCTGTCGCCCTGGCTGGCCTGGAGCTCACTTTGTAGACCAAGTTTGCCTCACTTGACCAAGATCCACCTGACTCTGACTCTGAGTGCTGGGATTAAAGGTGTGCATCACCATACCCAGCAGATTGTGGGTTTTATCCTAGACTGTTTCTGCTACCAGACCATCTTATGGGTTATAGTTTACTCCACCTGTCTAGCTAGAGGCTTACCCTACTTGATGGCCAACTGTAACTACAGTTAACTAGACTAAGAAGCACCTAACAGAAAAGTACTATTCCAGCCATGTCATGTCTGAAGAGGAGTAACTTAAGTGGGAAAGACTTGAACATGGACCTCACCATCCCATAGGCTGGAGGCCTGGCTAGAATAGAAGGGTAGCGTGAGGCTGTTCTTGGTCGTCAACTGGACTGCATCTGGAATTAACTAAAACCCCAAAATGGAGGGCACACCATGAGGGATATTCGATTAATTTGAAGTGGGAAGATCCACTTCTAATCAGGATCTTTGCAGTGGGAAGACACACCTCCAATCTGAGCCACACCTTCTGCTGGAAGCCTATATGAGGACACAGATGATTGCTCTCTCCTCGCTAGCACGTCCATTCCTTCACTGGCATTAGAGTCTACTTCTTTGGCATTCTGGCATTTACTGAAGACCAACTGAGATATCCGGCCTTATCGAATGAACTGCTGGATTCCTGGACACAGACTGCCATTCATAGTCAGCCATTGTTGGACTTGGTGGCTTGAAAGAAAATGGCCTCCATAGGCTCACAGAGAGTGGCATTAATAGGAGGTGTGGCCTTGTCGGAGGAAGTATGTTTGTATCTCAGCTCTCTTCCTGCTGCCCGAAGATCAAGATGTAGAACTCTCAGCTCCTCAGCACCGTGTCTGCCTGTGTGCCTCCATGCTTCCCTCCATGACAAGGATAAACTAAACCTCTAAAATGTAAGCCAGCCTCAATTAAATGTTTTCCTTTATAAGAGCTGCCATTTGTCTCTTCACAGCACTAAAACCCTAAGCAATGGATTAGCTGGACCACAGCCTGTAAGTCATTTTAAAAAGTTTTTTTCTGTATATAGAGAGAGATGCATTCTGTAAATTTTGCTGCTTTGGGGAACCCTGACTAATAGAAGAGGAGAGGAAGAAAGGCCTCAGTGCAGACGTATGTATGTGTGAGTAGCACATGCCTGCACATCTGTCTGCCTGCTTCCTGGCTACCATGATGGAGCTGCCTCACCACAGGCCCAGAATCAATACAGCAAAGACCAAAATCTCTAAAACCAGGAGCTATAATGAGCCTTCCTCCATTGAGTTGTTTTCCTCAGATCACAATTAGGGAAAGAGAGCAGAAACGCCACACACAACACCTGCTTAAGTGGATTAACTGATGTTCCTAGCTATGTGCAGGCTCAGGGTCGTCCCAGAACTCTGGGCATGACTACATTAGAACACACAGGATGTTCCCGTAACTGATAACACAGCAGAAGGCATATGTATGATCTGCAGTTGAAACACAATACTTACAATCCATATGCAGTTCCCAGCTGGTGTTCAGGAACTAAGAATGCCACCATCGGCCACAACGCACAGGCCAGCAATGAGTAGGAAAACCCCAAGAGACACTAGACAGGAAGACAGAGCAGTACAGTATGTATCAGGTGACAGCGGATTTTCAGTGAAGACAATCAGTGGAAGTGACATCCTAGCTAAAACCGAGTACACACCTAGTTACTGTAATTAGACTAACACTTTAAATACAAAGCTCAGTCGTGGGCCTCTCTCAGTATCCTCCACTGTTCTAACCATTTTCACTTGTGACATAAACAGACAAAAACTATCTGGGCCACTGTCCAGTCAAAGGCACAGTTACCTGGCAAAAAGTTCTTACCCAAGTTTTCAGGCAACCTGATTTTCCTTAATTACAAAGGAAGTAATCACGGCAGCAGAGTGACTTGTTCTGCTGCCTCTGGATGATCAGTTCTAAACTAAGCAGCAGAGCGGGAACAGAACCGCCCTCACCAGCACTTGTCAGACTCTGTAAGGGTGCTTTTTCCTCACTACAAAAGGCACTAGCCAGGCATGGAGCTGGCACGCCTGTGGGTGGAGGAGAGCTGAGCCGAGGCCAGCCAAGGCTGCACGGAGAATACGAAGGTCACTGTAGCTATATATAAGCATATATAAGCTATATATAAGCAAGAATGTGTCTCAAGTTTTTAAAATAAAGTATGATTTGAATTTAAATTAAGTATTACATGTACCCATCAGACTGGTAAATATGAAATAATGCTGACACCAATACCAGCAAGGAAAATGGGCAGATCTGTGTGTTGCTGGCGAAGTTACAGGTGAGGAGTAAGTTTCTGTCACATCTGTCAAGATGACCACTGCACCGAGCCTCTACAGCAGCAGTGCTACTCCTAGGACCTGCAGGTCCCTATAGGCAGGCTTCCGTGGAACTGCCCACTGGCTCCATAACTACTGAAGATGTTCCTTTACGAACAATTAAGAGACACAGCACTCAGCCTGCACTTCCTGAAGACAACAAAACCTCCATGGAGTTAAGAGTCAAAATCAAATGAACAGACTTCCGGTTTGGGACCGAGCCTAGAGCAGGTCGCAGGCAGCAGCTCCGTACCCAACCGCAGAAAACCAAGAAAAACAGGGACTCCCAGGAGCTTGAACTCACGCAGCATCCCAGGTAAAATTGAATCACCCGTGATGCCTGCTATTAGAAGGTCTAACCCAGATGGACCAGAAGCCAGGAGCCTCGCCCTTACCCTCACCCCCTACCTTTTCCCACCTGCACAAGGTCCCCTGAAGCTGGGCAACTGCAAGATCCTGCTTGGCAACTGCAGATAGACTCAAAGCAGTGTACCATATCATCTGAAGAATAGCAGGGAGACCATAACTCAAGCAGTGTACCATATCTTCTGAAGAATAGCAGGTTGCAGTCCTCCTCACCCCCACGAATAACCAGGACCCGCCGGTCGGGTCAAGTGGCACCCAGACGTGGGGCTCGAGGCACGGACCCATCCGGACGGACCCTCATTGAGAGGATGTGCACACGACATCAAGATTGAGCAAGACAGAGATCATCGCCCGTGACCTGTCGTCCACGGAACCAGGTTGATGCTGCCATCAAGAAGGCAGTTGAAGTTCATTACCATCAGCTGAAAATTGCAGAGGATCCAGAAGTGAATCCGCAGGAGACTGACAAAGCTGTCAGCTCCCCTGCCTCCCCCTACGGTCGACCCCTAGACTTCCACGCCCTCCAGAAGGGTTCCTGGTATGCCTGGCTTTGCCCTCATTTCTCTCGCTAGAGAGCTTGGCCTCTTGATCACCACAACAAAAATTGGCTTTTTCCTAAACCAAGGCCACCCTTGATATGGCCGCTAACATTGGGGAGCCTTCCTTTATGACAATATTACACCCCAAACTGACAAATGGTTGGTAACTTGAACATTTACAAGAGACTAGGATGGCTGTGAGTTAGCCCAATGACGGGATTATTGTAGGTCCACTTCCCAGGGGCCCACCCAATGCAGCCGAAAAGGAGTGCATGGTGCTGGGAGTGGGTGCAGCCTACATGGCCTAAGACAGGGCTCTCACCCTCCTTTCACCCACATCAGAGTCCCTTGACGTTGCCCATCGTCGACAGCCTAAAGCCTTCGACCATCGATGTGACTCGTCTCACATCAGTGTTTTGGGGTTGTAAAACTTGTCTAAGACCCCCCATAATTAGACATCCAAATTCAAAACTCACATAGTTGGGATTGAACATAAGACGCCTTCTCTAACTAAACAGAGAAGGGGGAGATGCCAGAAGCCAGGACCCTCGCCCTTACCCTCACCCCCTACCTTTCCCCACCTGCACAATGTCCTCTGAAGCTTGGCAACTGCAAGATCCTGCTTAGCAACTGCAGATAGACTCAAAGCAGAGTACCATGTCTTCTTAAGAATAGCAGGGAGACCATAACTCAAGCAGTGTACCATATCTTCTGAAGAACAGCAGGTAGATCATAATTCAAGATAGTGTACCATATAGACCATGACATGTTTCAAGGCACAGGCCAAGAAGATTTTGTACTTTTCCACCACCTGGACCCTCTTACCCCCTCCCCTTGTAAAACATGCTATAAAAAAGCATTTCATGTTCAAAAAAAAAAAAATCTCAAAAAAAAGAAAGTAGTTATGAGTTAGATTTAATAATGTTAAATCACTTAAAGTCAGAAGAAAAATATTAAACATTATCTTTCTAAATAAAAAAAAAAAAAGATAAAGTTTTCAGTACAAAAACACCTAGCTCCCAACATAAAGAACAGAACAATTATGCAAAACATTTATTAGTAACAAGCAACAGAGGCCAACTAGTGTGTTTAACAGAAAATGGCTAAATGCACATGTCTCCCTTCTCCTGATTGGAGCGATCTATCACTTATCTATTCACTGTCAACTGGTCTGTCATTTAAGTGCAATCTATCTATATCTATTATTTACCTATCACAAATTATCATTTTTTAATGTATGGAATGTATCCATCCATTTTTATCAGTATAAACAGTCAATATTATCAATTGGTTATAACATATTCCTACTAATAAATTTGGTGATAAAAGTAAAAAAAAAAAAAAAAAAAAATCAAATGAACAGACACTGGGCTGGAAGACTGGCCACTTTTAATGGATGATTTATTTTAGGGAAGTTCAGAAAAGTAACTGGAAGTGATTAGAGACTATTTTATTTCAAATTCTGCTTCAGCATTGAAGATTCCCTATTAAATAAGCCAACTGACAAGCAAACTTTATAAATTAATAACTGACCATTCTTTTTTAAATAAACATTTACTTTGTCAAAATTAAAGTGAGGTCATGTCCCCATCAGCTGCCAGCTGGGGTTGGTGGGTGCAGCAAACATGGACTTGGGGTTCTCTCTAAAGCCCTCAACATCCCTCTCAACATTACCATAGCAATCCATGGGTTCCAGAAGGTGAAGGCCAGCATCATATGGGACACGAGGGTGGCAGCTACCGCATACAGGACCCAGATGATGTTCTTCCCAGTTTTATCCACCAGGAGTCCAAATACTGGGGACATGGGAGCTGATATGATATACACAACACTGCCCAGAGAGCAGAAGAATGTTAATAGAACACCATTAGAAACTAAGTATCAAAGCACTCCCCAAGACTACCAGAAACTAAGTATCTCAGCACTCCCTAAGACTATCCTCAAAGCAAAGCCTTGGCTCCTCTAATTTGGCACTCTTCCAAAATGAGAGCCAGAGAACAAAAACATAAAAATCATTCCAAGAATTCTTTGGGTTTTCTCTTTATGCAAAGCCAGACTGCTGGGATTTGGGTCTGTGGTATTGGGTATGGGGAGCTGGGGAGGGGGGCACTTTGGTGGCAGGGATGTGGTGGGGGGTTGGGGGGCTGTGGTCACACAATCTCTGTGGCCTCTCACATGTGACCTCTGCTTATGCATACATCATACATCAAAACAAGCACCTACAGATTACACCAAATACCTGTTAATTGCACTTGCTGACTGGGAAGAAAATCTGAATTTCTCTATGAAGAAAACTCTAAAAAAGAAAAGTGTGCACATTAGAAAGAACTACTTTGTTCTCAAAAAATAAAGAAAAAGTTAAACAATAACTCTTAACATTGAATAAGCTTTTCTTCCACTGTTATCTTCTATCCATCCTAAAGTGACCTGCTACAGCGGAAGTATTCAGTACTTTACTGACTGAACCGAGACTGGCTGACATATTTTCAGAACAGTAAATCGAAAAGCAGGCGTGCAGAGGTCCTTTCCCATGGAATAGGGTTCTTGCCATAAAGCGACTGTATAGTCTTGAAGGTTACAAAGACACAAAACACATCCCTACATAAGCACTCTCTGCAGCAGCCAATGACTGAGGAGAGATGCAGGCACAGCAAGCCAGGACCTGCCTTGATCCCTGAATCTGAGTCTGGCAGAAACTGTCTGAGATAGACAGCGCACACCCTCACTCACAGCAGGTGGCCTCCCGACCGACCCAAGAACAGAAAGAGAATTTTAAAAGTCTTTCTTCAAGAGGATAAAGAAAGTAGTAAAACAATGTTGAATCTGAAACTAAAAACGCCTAAAATACCCACTGTATCCCCGAATATAAGATAATAAATCTAAGTATACAGTGTCCACAGTAGGAAAATTAACTACAAAAACACCCACTCATTGATGTGATTCACCCTCATTACAATTTATAACTGGAACTCTAGGGAACACTCACTTGCCCAGCCCAATGAAAGGGAATACCGCCACGTAGTAGCAGACACAGATGACGAAGACCAGCAACAGGGGTAAGGAGAAGTCCTTTATATCCGTCAACTTAATGACTTCACCTTCAGAAAAGGAAGACACATTATCTCATAAACCTAAGTACCTGTAGTCATCATTAGTCATTATTTTTATTCATGTAATAATAACAAAAACACTTTTCCAGAAAATTCCACAAACATCATCTGTGAAGTACATTACCAAGTACTAGGAGGAAGAAAGCAGAACTTGGTACGATAGGAACTAGGATCATTTAACTAATAAACAAAACAAAGTCAAGAATGTACATTCTGCTAAAACATTAAAAGGGGGGATACAAACCAAAATGGGGACAAGCAGAAGTGGATCTGGACGCAGCATCAGGGCACTGTGCTGTGTATTCACGGTACTGTCGACTACCTTCAAAGGTCCCCTAAGTCCCACTCTACTTTCACGATGATGTACCTGTTTTTCCTTGTTCTTTATGAAGTATTTTCTCTGCTCTCCGATCCAAATAAGCAAGGGCCAAAGCACAGATTAGTGAAAGAATGCATGTTATACCCCCTAAAAAAAAAAGAGAAAGAAAGAAAAAAATGTTAGAAAGGTTCAGGGGCTTGGAGAAAGCGACCCACTGCATAAAGAGCAGCCGTGTGGCCACTGACAGGAAAGGCTGACAGGGCTGAGGAAAGCCTGCCGACGCCAAGTGCAGACACAGGAACAGAATGGCAGACACCCAGCAGGCAGACTTCATCATAGCTGTTTCTCAATAGAAGGTTGGCAATTAGAAGGAAAACACTGGAACCAAACACTCCAGTCCTGTAGACTGGGGAGAGTACATGACCAGCCATGGGAAGGTGAAGACAGACAGACCCTTGGGCTCAGTGTCAGCCAGTCTTAGCTGAATTGGTGAGTTTCCATGAGAGACATCATCTCCAAAACTAAGGTGGAGAATGATCATGGAAGACACCTAACATTGAGCTCTGGCCTCTACATGCATGTAACATGTTCACCTGTACACACATGTGCACAGAACAATGCAGACACATACATACATCACAGAAAGAAACAGCAGGAGAGGAACCGTTCTCTGACCTGTATGCTACAGAAGTAAGGAGAGCCAGCAGCCACAGATTCTACTGCTACCCCTGACGAGGTGACGGTGGACTGTGAGGCTCAGTTTCCCGTGTGTAACATGAGAAGTGCTCACTCAATGAAGTGTCTCTTCTACCTCCAAAACACTACATAATTCCACACATGGAGAAAACTGAATGCAAGTACAAAAGCTTACGTGAGACTAAGTGTTTGAGAAGGAGGGTCTGGGGTGGACAGCCTTGAGGTGAGATTCCTGTTAGCACTGGCCCTCCATGCCCTCTTGTAACCAGGCTGTGTGCATCAAGCCAATACAAGGGGTAAAAGATATGCAACTCGAGCCTTCACCTCACTGTGCCACGAGCCACGGTGGAGCCCTGTGAGAAGCCACTGACACAAGGGATGGACACTGCCACAGAGTCTGAGAATTTCTGCTGAGAGCAGCCTGGAAGGGACACATGGAGCTTCACCTTCTACTCGGTGACTCGCCACTCAGCAACTGGCACCACGGAATGGGCTCAGAGAACTTAGGGACAACAAGGACACACACAGTATGCAAAGACTCACAACTTTTCAGAACACTGAGATAAATCGTCTTGTCCTAGATAAACTAGTTATGGGCAGTGAGGAATGGACCCAGGTTCCTGGCTCTCAACTCAGTGGGCTTTGCACTGTCCCACACCACATCGATCCAGTGTCCTGGCAGAGTCCGAGCAGAAGGACCCAGTCTTCCCCCTGCCGCCTGCTCCTGTGAGTCACCTGGGCACACTCCCTGGCTGACCTGCCTTCACACAACACAATCTCCTTGAACATACAATATGGAAGTGACCACACTGAGGAACACAGGGGAGAATCAGATGCCCCTTCAGAAATGGCAAAAGACATGCAAACAAGGCATATGACTGTCTTTTTCTAAACAGTCAAAATAACTAATGAACTGCGGAGGGAAAACCCTGTAACCTCCAAGGACAGGAGTCTGGCACTGGGCCCAGAGTTCTTGCCTGTTTGGCACATCTCCTACGACAAACCCTCAAAAGGGACAAGACATGGGATACGAGGAGTCACTCACCAATCATAAGTGTCACGCCCAGGGTCATGTGGCCAGCTGAGCCCAGTGATGCTTCAATCTTCCCATACAGCCAGCCCATGAGGTTCATGTTCACCGTGCTTCCCTGAGGAAGGAAAACAAACAGGTTCCTCCATCACTAACACTGGGGGAAGTTTACTCATAGTGCCTTAGTGTAACCAGAATCCAGATTACACAGAAGATAATTTGGTTAGACTGAGGGTGGAAGACGGACCTCTAATCCAGATCTCTGAGGTGGAAGACCCACCTCTAATCTAAGCGAGACCTTCTGCTGGAAGCCCATGTAAGGACATGGAAAAAAGCAAGATCTTGCTCTTTACCTGCTTGCCCTCACCTTGCTAGCAAGTCCATTCCTTCACTGGCATTAGAGCCAGCTTCTTCAGGATTCCAGCATCTACTGAAGACCAGCTGAGACACCCAGTCTTCTTTCTGAACAACTACTGGATTCCTGGACCTTCCTGTCATAGCCAGCCACTGTTGGGTTAGCTGGATTGCAGCCTGCAAGTCATTCTACTAAATCCCTTTCTATAAACAGATTCATTCTATAACTCTTTAGAACTCTGTATATGGATGTCCTCTGAGGATTTAAAAGACGTATTCCATTCCCAGTGCACTCTCTCTGCCTCCTACTAACAGATGAAGATGGGAGCTCTCCAACGTTCCTGCCACCATGTCTTCGCTCTGCCACCAGAGGCTCTAATCCTGACACCAAAAGCTCAATTGAACACTTTCTTTTATAAGTTGCCTTGGTCATGGTCACAGTCGTGATGGGGTTGTTACAGCAATAGAAAAGAAATTAGGAGCAGGCTAGAGATGAGAGATCATGCGATCCTGGGTAAGCCTCCCTCTGCAGTCCTGAACTGCAACTCTGGCTAGTTTCCACAAACCAGACAGTCACACTCCAGCAATAGGCCAAAACAAGATGGGTCTGAGACGGACTACTGGCTGTACAGTAAGACATCCTCAGAAGACGGATGTGGTATTCTGGTACATCCAATAGCATGTGCGGACCAATATGTCGGAGGATGGAAGGAGGTGGAGCACAGGATGACACCAATGTTCTGTACAAGAGAGTAGCCCTTGCTGAGGAGAAACTCCTCAAGAGCTTATCTGAAGAATGGTGGGGAGAATATGAAGAACTGGGTACAGCTAAGTTCAGTTCAGGGAAACTGGACAGCCTGTGTGAGTCAGGAATTGAGGTGAAAGGCCTGGACAGAGACAGCCAAGGGAAACTCCGAGTACACGTGAGGAATTCAAGGGAAAGCCCAGACAAGTGTCACGAACATGGAAACAAGGCAATGCTATTCAATCTCACAAAACTAGGTAAGATCTCGGAGGCTCTGAGTACTGAAAGAGATGAGATACCAAAGTCACGGCCTAGAGCTGTCACGTTTACAGCCATGATTGGAGAGAGAGAGGAGTATCTGACGGAGGTGTGAGATGAGGCCAGGCCTGAGTCTCAGGAACTCACAGGAGGAGGGTGGAGGGAAGTATTGCTCGGCTGGGAAAGCAAGCAAGCTTCCCAGCAGTGGCAAACCCCTCAGCATAGCTGCCGCAGTGCTATCACCTGGCTCAGTGCTTGCTGAAACAGTGAGCTTAAAAGGAGCAAATTATGAAGGAAAATCAAAACAATACTCAACCTCCGCCCCCAGCCATAGCAGGGTGGGGTACTTAAGATCTCCTGTCTCACAGGACGTGTTAATCAAATCACTAGAGCTCCTGGGTACCCTTCTAAGACAAAATATAAAACACCACAATCACGTCTCATTCTAAGCACCAGGAGTCTGGCTGACGGAGAGAAGTCCAATGAGATGTGAGCATCCTGGTGAGGAAGCCAGACCTCCTGGGAGATGGATTAGATATGGAAAAAACCATGCCTGATCAGGAACTGAAGAGCCATTGCATGTCAGCCACAAACAATTAATACTTGGTGGGGGGTTGGGGGGGACAGTCAGTAACGGCCCTTTGTGAGAAAAGGCTTCATCTGTGTGACGTGGAGCATCAGGAGTGTGTGGTGTTTCACGCCTTTAAACTCATCACTCTAAAGGCAGAGGTAGCAGACTTCTGTGAGTTCAAGGCCAGCTTGACCCACACAGCAAGTTCCAGGCCAGCCAGGACTCCATGGTAAGGCTGGGTTTTTTTGTTTGGTTGGTTTTTTTGGTTTTTTTGTTTTTTTTTTTTTTAAAAAAAGTTAACTGAGGGAGAATGGGCTGCCCCACTGCAGAGTGAGCTTCCTACCAATGGAAATGTGCAAGTAGAACATACATGGATGGATGGATGGATGGATGGATGGATGGATGGGTGGATGCATGCATGCATGCATGGAGAGATTTTTGAAGCAAGATACAAAAAATGGGTGAGAAATTAGGCAAGCTTTATTCAGACACTTTGAACTGTTTATTGAGTGCTTCACTAAGACAAAATAAATGTCAGTCTAAGTACTAGAGAATTATACACAAACAGGGGCTAGGCGTGGCTCCATGGTCAGAGTGCTTTGTGCAATCAGGAAGATAAGAATTCAGATCACAGCTCACATGTAGCAAGCCAACTGTCCCTGCATGCCAAATAACTCAGATCTGTGGAGACAGGAGACTGCTGCCTTCAAATGAACAAGTGGAGAGTGACGAAAGAGGTCACCCAATGTCCTCTTCTGACCTCCGCATGCAGAGGTACCACACAGACACACAAGCAAGTATTTTTTAAAAAGATCCATAGACATCACTGCCTACTTCTTCACATCCAAGTGTGCCCTTCCATACTTCTTTCTATGACTGAGGAGATCATGACAAGACTCAGTCTCCTGCTTCCTACTGGGCCCCACCACATCCATCACCATACTTACAATTCTGGCCATGCTGAGTTGAAGTCCAAACACCAGGTTTAATTCTTTCCCTTTAAACCAACTCACAGCATATGTATTCTGGGCAACTGCTAAGGACTCCCCACCAATCCTAAATATGGGAGAAGAAAAGTCACAGCTTTGAAAGAAATCCCTGTTAGCCATCTTCTTCCTCCCAGAGAGAAGTAGGATTTCCATCTCCTCTTGAATGGAGGAGGGCTTAAGTGCTTCAGCCAGTAAGACACAGTGAAGCAAGACTGTGTGACCATGAGCATCCCAAAGATAGCAACTGCCATTTCAGTCCAACGCTCACAGCTGGAGTCCTACGCTACTTTGTAGGAAGCGGAAGCATAACCACCCTCACACTACCAGAAGCAAGCCACACAAGAGGCACTGTTTGAAACTAAGCATGCTCTCCTGGGACCCCAGCCTGAGTATCTAACATGCAGAACAAGCTTTCAGACGAATCCAGCCTCCGGCCTTACAGGAATCGTTGCAGCAGAGATCCCAGAAATCAGGACACAGACAACCCATCCACACACTCTAAAATGTGATTACTATTTCCTATTGTGATGTGCTGGAGTGATTTGGCATGCTGAATTAATTAGTAACAACAGGCAATGAGAGGAGCTACACCATGTGTCCTAAGCAAAGCACTGACGTGGAGGAGAGTCCTTCATTCACATTTTGTACAGATGGAAACTCATTTTCAGATCAATGTGAGAGGCTCCTGCAGAGTCAACATTCGTCTACTACTTGGGTTTTAACTTTCCTTCACTTAGTTCCACATACTTATCACTACCCCTTGAGATCCATTTCATCCCTCAGTCCCTGCCACGGCTCAGTCCTAAAAGGCATCTTCCCTCTCATCTACACGTCAGTCCCCACACTTCTTCTACATGGCCCCACTTCACCCATGTGGCCATTTAACCTCTTTCGTGCTCTTATATACACTCTGTGTCCTTTGGGGAGGTGCTACATCCATCTACATTGCCTGGTGCCTCTGGGAAAAAAGACTTCTTTCTGTGTACTGTATCACTCAGAGTAGGATGGTCAAGATTGGAACAGACACTGAAATGTACATAGGGAAGTCACCCTAGAGATTCTCTGCTAATTCAAGACACCTCAACAGGGAGCAGAAAGACATACATGGCACTCCCTTCTGAAGAGATCATTACAAGACTCAGTCTAGTAATGAAGAAGATGCCCAGAGTAACCAATCTAGAAATTGACGGTCTATACTTTTGTGAATGGGATTTAAATACGTTTTCAATATAATCAAGCTTTAAAAGCTCAGGAGAAGCATCATTTCTGAAGAAGCTTAAAATATTCAAACTCTACAAGCTAACCAGGATCACTAAAAAATTAAGTATCAGTTAAATCAACTAAGAAGCACACTTACATAAATAGGCTACATTTCAAAGATCTGAACTAATTCCTCACTATAGGTCCAAGAGTAGAGTTCTGTGAGAATTCTGAGAGCTTGTAAGAAAACAAGCCAAGAGTCTTGTGACTTTCATTTCTTTAAAAGCACAATCATGTTCTTGGAATGTGTTTCTGTGTCCCTTCCAGGTGTGATAGGAGTGAGTTTACTTCATTACAGCCAGCTGTTGCTGTTTATTCGCCTCTAGAAAAACATGTCTTTGACCACATGTGGCTTATCCTTGTGACTGTACACTTTACTTTACTCATGTGACTCTTCTTAAGACTCAGAGAATAAACTTCCTGATGCTCTGAATAAAGTTGGCTATTCCACGAGGCTTTAGTCTGCCTCACTTATGGGCTTCACTCTCCCAGGTCCTATGGCATCTAGAGCAGTAAACACCTCACAAGAGACAATATAAAGCACTAGAAGGGCCGGGTGGTGGTGGCTCACGCCTTTAATCCCAGCACTTGGGAGGCAGAGGCAGGCGGATTTCTGAGTTCAAGAGTTCGAGGCTAGCCTGGTCTACAGAGTGAGTTCCAGGACAGCCAGGGCTACACAGAGAAACTCTGTCTCGAAAAAAACAAACAAACAAACAAACAAATAAAAATAAAGCACTAGAAGGGTGGGTGAGTGAGCTGGCTGAATATGGAAGGCCATAGCTTTAATCTCAGCATTGAAGGTCCTTAATAAACATGCTAAGATAACATGAAATTAAAACTTACCCAAACACAAACCTTCCAAGCTCCATCAGCCAAAAAGCATTAAATATACCACCCAGAGCAAATATAACCTGTAATATGAATAGTAATAAAAAATAAACTCAGGATACTCAAATGGAGTAAGTAACATGACAAATCCTCATTTCCACAACACTTTCACTAGCCTGCACTAATAGATATGAGAAATTAAAATACTAATGTTCATGCATTTAGCAGGACTTCTAGTCACCAGGAGGAAAGCCTCCAGTGTATCTGGGAGGGATCTTTTGGGTAAGATTAACCCACATGCAAATACCCACCCCAATGTGCGTGACACCATTCTATGGGCTGAGCAGCATAAAGAAGAGAGTGAGTGTGCACCCGTCACTTCCTGTTTTCCTGACTGCAGGCACCATGTGACCAGCTGCTTCATGCTTCCACCATCGTGCCTCCCCCTCAAGCAGAGGGCTGAACAAACCCTTCTCCCTCCTTAGTGGCTTCTGCCAATCACAGCAATGAGGAAGTGACCAAGATAGTGTAATTTACGGTGTAAAATGAATTATAGCACATGGCCATTCATGGGCCTGATTAATTAATGAATTAATCCATTCATTCAGCGTATTTTTTCTAAGGGAATTAATTAAATAAGACTGCAACATCATTATCAAATAATGAATAAATATTTTGGCTTTTCTTACCTGTCCAATGCAAACAAAGCAGCTAAAAATAACTGTGCCCCATCTGAGTGAGAGAGAAAATGTCATTTCTTCACATTATTGCCGGTAATCACAGAATCCTATACTAATAACCAGTTTGGGTTTTCTTTTCCCATTCTGCATCCAAGGAAGGTGAACAGTCATCTGCAAACTTCCAGAGCCAAATGCTAACATACAGAAGTCCAGTGTTCTGACAGGATTCCAGAGGTTCATCAATGGCACAGGATCATCACCTCTTAAAACTTAAACAATCTTCACCAAGTTCTCATTTAGGAATGGAAATTCTTTATCAAATTTCTACTCAGAGTGTAGAGCTGAAGGCGAGTAGGAAGGCTCAGTAGTTCAGACCACGCGCTACTCTTGAAGAAGACCCAGGTGCAGGCAGCTCACATCTGCCTGTAAGTCCGGCTCCTGGGGATCAGACGCCTGCACTGGCCTCTGTGGCGCCTCCATACGTGACATGTGTGCATGTGCACACAAATAAATCTTTATTTTACTAACTTAGCATTGATTCCAGGAAACTCTACTAGATAATTCTAAGTTGGCTGTACTTCTTCTTGGTAACTAAAAACTACTTTTAGAAGACAAGTCTATGCCAAGTTAATGAGTTAGTTACAGGCCCAACTACAGTTTGTTAATATTTCACCAGAGCCGCAAAACAGCACAATTAGAAGACTCTTCAAAAGTCATCAGAGCCAACTGCATTTCTGAAACTAAAATTCCAAGTCCTTGGAAACTCATGGCCTGAGTGTTCTCTAAAACCGGAAAACCCAATGTCCCAAGAAGATTTCTATCACTCCTATGAAAAGGAGTTCCTCCTGCATATAAGTGGAATTAGTGTCCCTCAAAATTCAGCTAATTCTATCCCTTGAGACCCAGTAAAATCTAAACACTTTCGTAATAATCAACTGTTTAAGATTCTTAAAAGCAAATGCCCAAATCTATGCACACGAGGGTATCTCAACCCTTATCCATCAGAAAGGGTTAAAGCCACTCAGCAGCTCCATTTCTGCCTTCTGAAGAAAGCCCCAGCTGAGGTTCCCTGAGGTTCACTTGAAACACAGCCAATGAGAAAGACGAAAAGTGACAAAGCTCTTGGCACTATTCCTCTTCAGCATCAAATGACCGTGGCCACAAAACAAAAAGTTCAATGGCCAAAGATGGGCAGAAACAGAGGGGGTGGGGAGAGGGGATGTCTTAAATCTTACCAGAGCTGAGGGATGTATCTCCACCTATGTGCAAAGACTTTACAACTCCACCTCTCATTTAATCCCTGTAGAAGCTTGTCAGGTAGGAATCACTGCCCCTACTGAGCAGGGAGGAAGCTGATGCTTAGGAAGCGCTAAGTGTTAGCATGACAGGGACTTCACCAAGTGGCAGCAAGAGGACTCACACATGATTCGTCTAGCCCAATTTAAGAGCAGAATTTACCTCTGGAAACTGATGACCTTACCCCATCAACAACATCTACTAGATCTGACCCTAATTAATAAACCAACCAGGCTGCAAGGATCAAGTCTAGAGCCAAAACCAATCTTTAAAAACAAAAACCAAATCATTTTGACCACCATATGTCAATTCACAAGTCTATTCAGTTCTTTGAAGAAGAACTTCAACCCATTCCTACATTCTAATAACCAGGCTAAATTTACCCACAATTTAACTTTTTTTTTTTTTTTTTGCAAGCTTACCTTATTCCAAATACTCGGTCTATCAGAAAGCCACCCAAGAAACACAAAACTACATTGGGCCAGGAATACCAGGCATACAGCAGCATGAACTTCGTGGTATTCACCTGCATGTCCTAGATAGGGAGAAAAGAAAACTTTTTTCCATACAAGCTCTGCAATAAGCAAATCAGAACAAGATGTGGTGACAACTGTGTTTCTGTACAGGGTATGTTTCTTAACCATTTGTGAACTATTTACTTCCTTGAGACTCTGAAAGCTACAACCCCTGCCCTTAGAACAACAGCCACACCTGGGAACATCTTAAGTCCACATACTCTTCCTCCAGCCTCATGGACTCCAGGACCTGTCACTGATATGGGGGCCAACTCAGTCCTTTTCTACCTCCTATCTTTTTCCTTCGTCATTTCTGCCTGCATTATAGACTCCTCCCAAACAGGAAGAATCACCCTTGCCTAGTCTTAAAGACGATACCCTCTTTACCGCCTCGTAGAATGCAAAGGACAACCTGAGCATTTTTCCTCTGCCTAATGGTTAAAAAAATTGCACATACTGATGGTCTAAATGCCCAAGAAATGACAGATATAATTTAACAATTCAAAACCAGACTAAGAATGCAGACAGGGCCAACCCTCAGCAACCAGTATCCACAGTTATAAAAGTAAACAACGGCAAAGCTCATCTAAGAAGGCCAAAGCTGTCCCACCACTCACTCAAGGTTCAGAGGAGTGTACAGTTCCAACCAACACTAGCACTTCTGGTAATACACTGGGCGGAGTCCATAATTGTCTATCTAAAGAATAAAGCCATCTCAAGTCATGTATATGTTATTCATGTGTTCCTTAGGGGAGCAAATTTGATCCCAGGGACTCTGCAGCTTGTGGGTCTAATAACACACACTAAAAGTGAAAGTGAACATCTCAGATGGGGCACCCCAAGAGCTCACTCTATCTCAGCATCTATAAGTCAGTACTCCAAAGCAAAGCAGCACAAGAACGCAGAGAATCGACTCACCCGTTTAACCTGAGTCTGAAGGGCCGCAGGGTTGTCATAGCAGAAATAGCTGCCTAGAAAAGACAGAGCACATATTTCATTCAGAATGATGTCTACATAAAAGTTTCAAGCTATAACTCATAACTAGTAACTCCCCCGTGGTGTTTAAGGTTTACTATGGCTGACACGATGAAAACAGATTTTTTGCTTGTTTGTTTTACACCACTTCCTAATCTACCATCTGAAAGAACTTCCACAATTTAGTGGTGTGCATACACAGCAAACACCAGGAACTTGATTAAGAGGTCAACATCAACTGGTTTTAATCATTTTTGGTTTTTTTTTTCATCCTTCCCATGCTTATTACTGTATTAACACCTTCATGAAATGGTTGCATTTTCCTTACTTAAAAAAAAAAAAAAATTCTACAAGTATCCTCTACAGGTGCATGTTAGCTGTCCTCACTTTTCTCAAAAGCAAAGTGAACTTCAGCTATTCAAACCAAACCAGTATTTGAAATAAATTCTGATCCTGCAAACAAACAAACAAACAAAAGCAAACAAAAAAATACCCAGGAGCAAATAACTGAGTGAATATGGCGCTAGAAACAAGAACAGCACAACCGGGAGTCTAAGGGGTCAAATGCAAAACAGCAATGTCTCCTGGGAGCGAAGAAAACTGACAGACTTGAGGAGGCCCCAAGGTAACACTGCCCGTTTCCCTGCCGCCTCTGTAAATACACAAAGCTAACAAAGCTATGGGTCCAAAGGTGTCTCGAGAAGGCGGCTAGAGAGGCAGGACTCTGGTTTCTCAAACCTGAACTTTCAGCCCAATCTACCTACCAAAAATAAACTGTCAGCTTGAGTAGGGACAATTTCTTCAAGTGTTTTGTCTATGCTTACTGGTTATTGATTCTAAACCTAGAAACTTCTGCTTCAGGATTTAGCTGCTTATAAGAAATTCAGTATCATGGTTGGTTGGTTGGTTGGTTGAGACAAGATCTCATTTTGATCCGGGCAGTGGTGGCGCACGCCTTTAGTCCCAGCACTTGGGAGGCAGAGACAAGTGGATTTCTGAGTTCAAGGGGGAAAACCCAAGGAGGAAAACAAAACAAAACAAAACAAAACAAAACAGATCTCACCTTGTAGCCCTGGCTGGCCTCTCTAACTCACAGGGATTCACATGTCTCTGTTTTCCAGTACTGAGATTAAAGAAGGGCACCAGCACCACCACTATCAGCTCAATACCACGTTTTAAAGCAAATGGATGCCATCTTGCCAAAAATAAAGAAACCAGAGCCCAGAGTATCTTTTATACACCAGGAGCATGTATTTCTAATCTGATCCTCTAAAAACACACTTTCAGGCCAAGCACGAATCCGAACAGTTTCAATGTAAACTAAAAACTGAAACACAGGAGGGAAGGATGTCTTTAAAAGTATCTAATGAAAGTGTTTTCCGAGGAATCAGATTTCATAAGTGAAACCAATTTAACAAGTGCGGTCCTGCAGGACTGCCTCATACAGGAAAGGTAAAAGAAGCCTACTAAGGTGCACTTAGTGGTGAACACTATCCAAAGCGGATCCGAGCTCTAAAGAAATGCAAAGGAAAGCACTGGAGGTGGGAGGGGTCGCCTGGAGAGGAAGGAAGAGGGACTTAGTCACGCTCTGAAACTGCCGCCGAGCAATGTTCAGAAACTCTCCTCAGCACGGCGCTCCGGGAGAAAGATCTGAGATTCCTTCTCCTTTGCGTCCCCAGGGAGGAGCTGCTGCACTCGGGGGATTGGCAGGAACAAACGTCACCTCCCTCCCGACACTTGGAAAAAGCGGGCTCCCAAGTCCCGGCAGCAGCGCGGATCCCGGGACGCGAACTCCGGAATCCCTCTCTCATCTGCCCCAGCCCAACCTGGCTCACCGAAGCCCAGGAAGCACATCAGCGACAGCACCACGAGCCGGTGCGCCAGGTGGCTGGGGTCGCAGAGCGCTGGCAGAGCACGAGGGGCGCCCTGGACCGCGCTGTCTGCCTCGGGGCGGCCCCCGAGCAGCGCCTGTTCTTCCCCATCCTCGTCCTCCATCAGCTCGCAGCCTAGAGTGGAGCAGGAAGCAAAGGCAGGGCGGCAGCGGTCACGTGGCCGCGCTCTCTCACGTGACTCTCCCGGGTCCTTCCTCGCCGTGCTCACGTGAACGGCTGCTCACGTGGTGGCTGGGCTCGTGCGCTGCTTTGCCGCTGATGGGGTGGAGGTGGGGCGGGAACGGGAGTAGGCGACCCGACTATATCAGATAGATGGGGTCCTCATCAGCATCTGATTTAAGACCAGTAGGAAGTGCTGGTGCAGAAGTTCTGGTGGAAGGCTTGGCCTGAGCGGCCTAGGGTCCGTCTCACAGCTGAGTCCTCCCCTCCGTCACTTGGTCAACTCCCCACGCTCCCCTGCCTGACGAACAACATCTGATGTACCTGGCACTTATGTGCTAGAAAAGAGGACAAATTCTCTCACCTCAGAATATAGGTGAGAGAATTTACTCAGATGGGCAGAAACTAATCATGTGGGTGGATGGATGTATATATAACTGCGGCTGAAATGGGCATTGAATTCCTCTAGGATTTATACGTTTATAATTACACGTTTATATTGATCTTGGAATAAGAAGTCGAGTAAAGTAGAAACACGAAACGTCCTAAATGAGGAGCCATTCAAAGATGTCCAGCAGAGTTTCGAAACCACTAGGTTTAATTTTGAGAAGCCTGATTTGGCAGCACAGCCTTCTACCCTACTTGCAGTAGAATTTTGAGTAGCAAGGCTAGGTGCTAAATAGCTGTCAAAGATGCCGCAGAAGCGAGAGAGGCTCAAAGCTGATCTTGGCAGGTCAATAGGTATGGCACCAAAGAGCTTCCAGTGACTGCTTACAAAGTAAAATGGGAACGTGTTTAAACAATAGCACATGAGGTTTGAAAGAAGAGAAGGGCTTTTGAGTGTCTCCTAGATTTCCAGCTTGGGCCCTCCAAAGACATCCAAATATAGGGAATGGGGAAGCAGAGAGACTGTGTCAGAGAAATACGGTTTGGAATGTTTGTGCATAGCCTGCTTTCTTCCTTGCATTCCCCTGACTAATACTGTGCTTGGTCAGCACAGTGGTCGTACCCCACCTTGGACTTATTCTTTCACTCAGCATCAGCTGTGCTACAGTGAAGGGCCTAGACCACCATTTTACACTCCTTGGCTTTACGGAAAGGATAGATTACTGAGTGTCTTGTACTGGCTAGTTTTACGTCGACTTGACACAAGCTGAAGTCATCTGAGAGGAGGAATCCTCAGTTGAGAAAATGCCTCCATGGAATGGGCCTGTAGGCAAACCTGTAGGACATTTTCTTAATTAATGATTGTTGGGGAGGGCCCAGCTATCCTTGGGTTGGTAGTCTGAGGTTCTGTGAGAAAGCAGGCTGAACAAGCCATGAGGAGCAAGCCAATAAGCAGCACTCTTCTATGGCCTCTGCATCAGCTCCTGCCTCCAGTTCCTGCCCTATTGGAGTTCCTGTCCTGACTTCCTTCAGGGATGGACTGTGATATGGAAGTGTAACCCAAATTAATCTCTTTCTCTCTAACTTACTTTGGTCATAGTGTTTCATCAAAGCAATAGAAACCCTAACTAAGACGAGTCTAATGGCTAAGTCAAACAGCAACTTTATTATAAAATGTTATATATTTTTAAAAAAAAATAGTATTCATACTAAAAGCTATCCTCATTTACATGTCTTTCAGCAATATAAGTGAGAGCCTGGTTGCCACTATCTCTAGTCCACCTTTTTTTAAGTCTTTGAAAATCTAAGTAAAAATAGCTATCATAGTAGAGACAGTTTGTATTCTGTGTTGAAGGAAGTTGAACTTCTTTTGAATGATAAGTAGTCACTTGTGTTTTAATGAAATGACCAGAGTAACCTCTTGTCCTGACCCCATTTTGGTTTTGCTTAGACAGTTCATGTCTATCTTGGCTACACATTTGAAATTTCCACAACTCTGACCATGGTCTGATATACTCACAAAACTAGTTAATGTTTATACAAATTTAAACTAAAATAACTGAAGATGTAAGTCAAAAATAATTGTCATGCTATGTGAGATAATAATTATAATAATAATAATTTTGAGGTTATTCTGACCCTTATCGTACTTTGATGTAAGTTATGATCTTTGTGGGTTTTGCCTTTTAAAATGCTATACACCTGAGCTTTGGCACCTAGAGCCTCTGAGGCATGAACCCACGCTTGGTAGCCCATCAATTAAAGGACTCAATCTTAATTGCTTCCATTAGTGTTGTTGTCTGTGTTTTTCTCACATGGATGTGTTTCAATTTTCTACTAATTCTCTTTAAATTCTTTACTCCGTGTTTTCAGAAGGGCTCCCAGGATTTGTTCCTTTACTTAATTGCTTAAGTAGAATCACCAGTGTGTATGGGACTTGACATTTCCTCCAAATATGCTTTATTTTTCATATAGTTTTTCATGCCAAAACAATTTTTTCATAATGTGAGGTCTTTGCTCTCAAACAAGATTTCAACACCCTTAAATTGAGTATGGCATCTTTAATCTGAACTATTTAGCTTTTAAGCCTATTAAGACTTAGGCAGGAGATGTGTGGAGCAGAGGGAGCCCTGATTCAGTGACACTTTAAGTGTGCATTGTTGACATGGGCACATTCATGACAAGGTCCAAGGCCTCGGCCCCCATAGTAAATTGCAAAGCCTTGCCCCATATAGGTCAGGCTCAGAATTGGCTGGCTTGAGCGCCCAGAGGGCTCAAGGGAGCTTTCTTTGCTTCAGAGGTAAGAGCAGCTCTTCAAAAGGAGGGAGAGAGGAGGAGGAAGGAAAGGGAACAGGATCAGGTGTTGGAGGAGATGTACAGATGGTCAGGAAATTGAATAGAGGTGTGAAGCATTAGGGGATGGAGAGCTTGGGGTAGCCACCAGAAAGTCCCAGATGCCAGGAAAGCAAGAGACTCCCAAGGGATGACATTAGCTGAAATACCCAACAGAGGGTGAAGAGAACCTGTAGAGACCATATCCAGAGGTTAGGCATGGTCCCTGGTTGAGGGATGGGGCCACCCACCCATCTCAAAAATATTAACCCAGAATTGCTCCTGTCTAAAGGAAATCTGGGGACAAAGAGTGGAGCAGAGACTGAAGGAAAGGCCATCCAGAGACTGCACCACCTGAGGATCCATCCCATATGCAGACACCAAATCCAGACACTATTGTGGATGCCAAGAAGTGCTTGCTGACAGGAGCCTGATACAGCTGTCTCCTGAGAGGCTCTGCCAGAGCCTGGCAAATACAGAGGTGGATGCTCGTAGCCAACCATTGGACTGAACACAGGAACCCCAATGGAGGAGTTAGGGGAAGGACTGAAGGAGCTGAAGGGGTTTGCAACCCTCATAGTAAGAACAACAGTGTCAATCAACCAGACCCCCCAGAGTTCCCAAGGACTAAACCACCAACCAAAGAGTACACATGGAGGGTCCAATGGGTCCAGCTGCATATGCAGCAGAGGATGGCCTTATCTGGCATCGATGGGAGGGGAGGCCCTTACTACTATGAAGCCTCAATGCCCCAGTGTAGGGGAATTCGAAGGCAGTGAGGTGGGAGTGGGTGGGGGAGTGGGGGAGCACCCACATAGAAGCAGGGGGTAGTGGGGATGAGATAGGGGGTTTGTGGAAAGGAAACCAGGAAGGGGGATAACATTTGAAATGTAAATAAATAAAATAACCAATAAAATAATCTTATATATAAGAAAAGGGCCTGCCCTGCACAGCCACCCAGGTAGCTTGGTATGGTGGTTTGTATATGCTTGGGCCAGGGATTGGCACTATTAGGATGTGTGGCCTTGTTTGTTAGAGTGGGTGTGTCACTGTGAGTGTGGTCTTTAATACCCTAGTCCTAGCAGCCTGGAAGCCAGTTTCCTCTTAGAGGCCTGCACATCAAGATGCAGACCTCTCAGCTCCTGCAGCATTCCTGCCTGTGTACTGCCATGCTCCTACCTGTGCGCTGCCATGCTCCTGCCTTGTTGATACTGGACTGAATCTCTGAACCTGTAAGCCTGCCTCAAATAAATGTTGTCCTTATAAGAATTGCCTCGATCTTGGTGTTTCTTCACAGCATTAAAACCCTAAGACACTCAATTACCCAGTATTCACAACTGTACATAGTGGCTTCTGTCAAAGTTGGATCTTGTAGCGTATATGACTTTCCTATTATGTCTAAAGGGCATTCATTATGACTTCCTGTATCCTAAATGCCTGAGGCGTCTCTCCTCAGATTTACACATTAACCAGACAGCATTCCAGCTTCTCAGTTGCCTTTTGTCTTTTTGGTAATATCGTGGCTTGGTTTGGTTTGCACATCCTGTGGTATCGTGTCTATCACTCTTGTGGTTGGCTTGTTTTGATGTTGTTTTTCAAGACAGGGTTTCTCTGTGTAACAGGCCTGGCTGTCCTGAAACTAACTCTGTAGACCAGATTGGCCTCAAACTCACTGAGGTCCATGTACCTCAGCCTCCCAGGGACTGGGATTGAAGGTGTTCACTGCCACACCAGACTCTTTAGTGTTACTGAATCTGAGGGTGGAACCTAGTTAGAAAATCTTCCACACCCAAATCATAGTGTCACCTGTTCCTCCTCTATAGTGTATGTGATTTACCATCCAAACTCAGTGGGTGGTCTGTTCTAAATGTATTCACTTGTATAACAAGAGGCAGCTGGATACCAGTCAACCCAACACCATCTAGTCAAAGTTCATCCTGGCCTGGGTGAGTGGAGACGACATTTTATTTTGCAGCGAACTCCCGAGTGTATTCAGTTCCCTTCTGAAGGTTTCACCCCAACTCTACCGGCCTCTCTGTCTCTTTACCGTTCTTATTTTAGAAGCTTTTAGCTGTGACTCGTTGACTAATCCGTGTCCCTCTTCACAGTTTTTGTTTTTCAGTGTTTTCCTGGGTGTTCATTGGAAATTAATGTCAATGTGTATTTCTCTTTGTTCGTTTGTTTAATTTTTATAGTAACTGCATAGCTAACCATGCTGGGAACATGACTCAACATGAATATCAAGG